CCTTCCACTCTTTCTAAAAAAATCAATGGAGAAAATATTCTCAGGTAAGGATTAACAACAAGAAAAGTGTTGCCTCATTAGAAAAAAAAAAGACTCTTCTATCACTCAGAAATTCCAAGGGACTGAGGTGTACAGCCATTTTCTGCTATAGACTCATTCCTTGGCTCCAGAATTACTGCAACATTTCTCAAGCGAGGCTTTTCACTTCCTCTTCCTCCATTCTCTCTTGAACTCAACCCAATGAAGATATCTGCCTCTGTAAGGCCACCAGATCTGCCTTTGTCCAGATCAGTTCTGATGCCACTTAGCTGAATTTAAACCAGTGGTCCACATGGGCACATGCCCCCCAGGGGGTAAATTCGATTTTTAAGGGGGTAATTGGAGAATAAGTTGTGAACAGTGACATTTTTGCATTTCTTATGGGTCTAGTGGCCTCATATACAGTATATAAATATATATTGTGATGTATTTATGCATTTCAGTTCTCTATTATATGTTTTGAAACTTTGCTATTTTTTAATATCACTTCATATTACTGTTATTTTTTTAAAACAATTTCTTAGTGATTTCTTTCTCAGTACTTCAACTGTCCTTTCATTCTTTTATTTTTCTCTTTCATGTTCTTTGGAATCTTGTTTAGACCAAGTTAATGGCCTTTCAGGCTTCTTCCATGTGAATAGGAGCTCACTTTTTGAATAACAAGAATTATATGTCATGAGAGGGTGTGGTGAGAAACGATTTTAGAGATGCTTAGGTGGGTCATGGCCAAAAATGGTTGGGAACCACTAGTTTAAACGGTCATTTCTCAGACTCTAATTTACTAGACTTATTAGCATGTGAAAAAATGTGAGCACTCTCGCCCCCTTGAAGTTACACCCATTGGCACCAGGACCCATCCATACACTCTCCTGGTCAATTATTTTTCTTCAGTGGTCTTTTTGCTCTTTCCCCCACGTCACCCTGACTCTAAGTGCTGGAGGGCCCCATGGCTCTGTCCGCAGACCTATTCTCTTCTTTGTGGTTTCATCCACAACCAGATCTTGATGTGAAAGACCCCCAAATCTCCGTGCCTCCCACCTCGACCCCTTTCCTGAACTCCAGACTCTGGCCATCTACTTGTCATCTGACATAAACATCTCAGAAGTGCCTCAAACTTACTGTAACCAAAACAAAGTTTGATCGCCTCTCAAAAACATACCTTTCCTGCAGAGTTGGCAATTTCAGGAATTGGTACTTCAATTCTTTAAGTTGCTCAGGGCAACCACATTAGAGTTTTCTTTGGTATCTATGGACATTTGTGAACATCTATGGCTATCTATGGACCCATATAACATCGTTGGACACCTGTGAC